CGGATATATAAAGAATTCCAACGGAAAATTTCTGTTGGAATGTAAGAGGTTTTTTTGTAGTGATTTAACTTTAAAATGAGAAATTACTAGGGGATCCTTTCCAGTGCAAATAATTAACTCGAGAATAATAGTCATTATATTTATAACATATATTTTTTGATTAAAAAATTATAAAAAAATGGAGTTTTATAAATGAGTGTTGAAATATGAGTTAACTATCAGTTTGCCTGAAAAATAATTTCTATTCATTGCATATCTGCAAGATAAGAAACTATCAATTATGTATATGAAAGTTGAGATTTATTGATTCAACATTATGAAATTAAAATTTAGAATTTAAATGTAAAAGACATATATAAAATAAAATAAAAAAAGAAATCAAACCACAAATAAAAACTTAAACGATATGAAAAATATGCATGAGAAATTTTTCCTATGTCATACGAGTTAGCGAAGATTAAAACTTATAAATAAAAATATCACAGTATAAATGAAGTATAAAATATATTTTACCTTCAGAGATTTCAACTATAATAGATATGTCGGGCATAAACTGATAAATTTTATCTTTCAAGCCCCGAATTAATAGTTGACCAATCTTTTAAGTCTCCAACACTACAAAAAAACACTACAATTTCAACGAAAAATTCCAACGGCAAAAATTTCCATTGGAAATTCCAATGAATATTTCAACAAACTTAATTTTATGTTGGAATAAGTGTTGGATAGTTGAGGAATTCCAACGAATTTTTTCCGTTGGAATAGCTGTAGAAATTTATTTCCATAGGATTTTCCGTTGGATATTTGCTATTCCAACGGCCATTTTTCCAACGGATTTTTATACGTTGGAATATCCGTTGGAATAGCTATTCCAACGGAAATATAAAAAACTCCAACGAAAAATTTCCGTTGGAATGTAAGAGTTTTTTTTTTTTGTAGTGCAATCAATATAAACTATAGCCCTAAATAATTTGGCTTATATATAATCTCTTAGATTGTTAATAGAATACACAATTGAATAATTTTCCATTGATGATTGATAAATAAAATAAATAAACAAATATTAATAATAGGCAAAATAGCTCGTTATATCACAACTTTTTACCATATTGCTAAAACATCACGATTTTTGAACCTTGGCGGAGAATATCACAACCTTTGCTTTCTTTGCAAAACGATACACGAAAATCGGAAACCGGCTGATGGGTCTATTCTCGGATCTGGGGGTGAACCGGTGGAAAATCGCCCA